TTTTTTATTATTATTTTAATTTTCAGTTTAGGAAATATGCAGGGTTTTTGCTGAGGCGCGTGTAAATCTTTTTCATTGGAAAAGAAAGACTGACTGTAATATGTGATTTAATGTCATTTGATGACTTTGTCGGTCCACTCTGGGCAGGGTGGGATAATTCCTGTACTGGAGCATGCTTATGACAACAAGACATTCTTTGACTAAGCTGGCTCTACCACACATAGTTAAGCTCCGCCTACAGATGAAATAATTGTTGTGTTTATACAGAGCAGTCAAGTTTTTTTTTTAAATACAGGAAAGTTGGAGAGGGAAAAAAAACTGGTTGCAGTCATGGAAAATGTCAAAGCATATACTGTGGTGAAGTACTGTGGTTCTGTGTCCGTCGGTGTAACGGGTTAACTGTACCCATGTGGTGCCCGACTGCTCCCTGACAGAGTGGCTCTGGTCAGGCTGGCAGCAGGGAACAGGGAGGCCCTTCATAATACAGCTCCGATGATTGAAATCATATGGCATGGTCTGAGATGACTGAAGTGCTTCTAAGGAAAACAAAGAGCAGCAACTCTTCTTTTTAGCCTCTTATTAACACTTCTCCGTACTGCGTCTTTGTTGGACCAGAAGCCTGGTGTCGTGTTTGACTGTTTTATGGCCACAGGACTCAGTTTCATGCTGTAAAGTAGTTGTAGTGAAGTTAAAAAACCTCTGAGAAGTTTTTTAACTTCAATCTTTATAGAAGCCTTTTAAACTGTAACTCCCCTTTCTTCCCTGTAGGTGGTGATGTGAGCACAGTTATATTGTTGTGTTTCTTCAGCTTCATGATTGGTTTATATCAAAACTTTTTTTTCCCTCAAATACAATTTATACACAGAAATCTAGTCAAAATGTAGTCAAAGATAGACAGATGTTTTTTTCTGATAGTGTGGCTGGCCAATAAAAAAAAGCCACACGCGTTTCTACTCCAACTAAACACCACTTTGAACAGTTAATACTCACATTCTCAATTTAATTTATGTTAAAATTGTATGTTTTAAATGCAAATAAAAGTTTAACTGAGTTATGCTAAAACTGCCACATTCTTACTCCCTACATTTTTCTTGGGTTTTCCCAATTCCACCGGTACATACCTCCACCCAGAAACGTTTTGCGTTTTCTGTGCGTTTGCACAGAAAAATGTTTAATTCTACAGTATGCACTTGTCACAGAAAAATGTTTAATTCTACAGTATGGCTTGTTTAACGTTGTTGTTGATGTGAATCTTTATCTCAAATCTTCATATTTGACATTTCCTTGAATTCATCTTAACTTTTCAAACTTGTCTTTTCTCTTTCCTGCAGCTCTCCTTGACCTCTTTGACCCGAATCCCTCTGGCAGAGACGCCACCAGCTGACAGGGACTGAATGGCACCAACTTAATAAACGCCCACTATCGCCCCCAAGAGGAAAGGAAGAAGGAGGGAAGCAGTGAGACGACCGGAGAGAATTCACCTGAACCCGAACCAGCAGCACTTTCTAGCATGGCGGCCAACAGGGAGCAGCAGGTGCGGCACATGACCGGCTACCCCCGAGCCATGTATCCATTCGCCTTCAACTCCATCAGAAGCCACTCCCACTTTGACCTGCTGGCCAGCAGCCACCTTTTTGGCCGTTTTGGTGCTGACCTGCCCAAAGAGATGGCAGCATTGTGTGAGTAACACAATTTATTTATATGTTTTTTTATACACAAAGGTGACAGGCTTTTATTATCTGAGAAATGATTATTCAGGAGATTTTGGCATTTAATTCCAGTCATGGGTTTTGTTCGAACTGTGTCACATCTTTCTCCAAACTGAAAAGACGACTTTATAATTCGATAAAAGTTCAAACGAGTTCAAGTTTCAATCTGAAGCCACAACCACTGCACATGTCAAGATAAAAGGCTAAATATACATGAGTTTACCCAGTTTGGTTTATTGTAGAACTGTGGAGAAGTAGATAATTTTAGAGCAGTGTGTATAGGAGAGAGGGGAGGAGAGGAGAGGAAGGGAGTGAAGAGGAGAGGAGAGATTCAAACAAGAGGAGAGGAGAGGAATCTTCAGGCAGATGACTGAGGGCTGGACCAGAACAGCAGAGATAACTTGGTCCTGTTTATAATTTGCAGCTATTCATGGATGTAATTATTACATTCAAACAAAAAAACAGTAATTTTCTCAAAAATAAAAATCCCTTGAACTGTTTTCATTTAAGCTTGCGCAACAGGGAGATCAACACAGGAAGTTTTCAAGTTGAGACACAGGGGGCGCTGCTGCTCTTTAGTAGGGAAACCAGGAGTCTGTAGAAGAGAGGGTGAAAGTGATTGGCCTGTAGAGCAGGGAACTCTGGAGGAGTATTTAAAAACTAAATACCACCTTCTGTTGTACCAACAGCCTCAGTGTACTGTGTATTTGTTGTATTTTAGAATTGTAACTGTGTGAATACTGTTCACTGTGGACACAGTGGTTCAGAGCTGGGATTATGGAAGATTAATCCAAATCACAGTCAAAGCTTTTTGTTGTTGTTTTTTTTTTCTTCTTAAGATTTTTGTTGTTGTTTTCTTTTTCTTCTTTCCCTGTAATATATTTTTACTTCATTTTTAGAACATAAATATCAAATATCCAAAGTATTACTTCATTTTCAGAACATAAATATCAAATATCCAAAGTACATGTTCTACCTTCAGTATTGGTACAGTACGTGTGTTAAAGTCCACCTGCAGTAGTACTGCAGTACTGTAAACACAGTGTGCAGTGGGTGAAGTCTCCACACCCTGAACCACTCACAGAAGTTTGAGAAAAATCTGCCAAACACACTGACGAGTTCACAGAGCAGCTGTTAGCCATTGATCTGCAGTTGTTTTTGGGCCCTCTGCTGCTGGTTGGACCAGAGGCAGCTAAGCTGCTGGTTCTACTCCGTGTGTGTGTGATTACATCTCTGCCTCTGTTCCTCCAGGACTTTTATATTTGCATGCACTGACGTAGGCAAAGAGATATGAGAGGCTGTTTCCTGCTTGTCCAGGTTGGGTGACAAAAAAGGAAACATTTGCGCCCCCTCCCCATCCCCCCCACCGCTTATTATGTTTACCTTTCAGCTTTATTTCACGGGTGAGATGAAATCGCGGGACAGATTGTAGTGTGGGATTGTGGGTCAGCTGTGGAGCCCTGTTTCCTCATGTTCAATGTTCTAGATCAGGTGGATCAAACATACGGCCCGGGGGCCAAAACCGGTCCGCTAGACAGTTCAATCCGGCCTGCTTGATGAATTTTTAAAATTAAAAAAACATACACAGACACTTGTACAGGATTTTTTTTTTTTGGTAAAATTATATTTCAGTAAATATGAATAAATAATGATATATATCTAATATACCTGTACTTGAAAAATGAGTTTGACGCCCCTGTTCTAGATGGTTTACTCTGAGGCTACGTTTGGGAAATTATTTTAAATGGATTCACTATCTGGAAACAGTATGAGGGCGTTTAAGGCAAAGGACAGAAATATAGTTAGAAGACAAACAGGACAAAATCTTTCCTCCAATATGGATCCTGACACATTTGCCATAATAGACGTGTTGCATTATTAAAAATGATTTTGGCAGCACCTAGTTCTTTTCATCTTCAGGTGTGTGACTCAGTTCAGCGCAGGATGAGCCAGGAAGAGTGAGAGCCGTGTTTTGACAGGACATCCAACGTTCAGCAGCCAAAATGCTCTCAGCTGCTGACGGATTAAATCTCAGATTTACTGCAGCATGTGCTGTCACACCACTGCGTTGTTGAAGTCGACTGTAGGTGAAGCATGATCTGTTTTTTTAATCAAACTAATTCTAGAGCAGGATAATTAGAAAATCACTTTTCCCCTAGTAATAACATGACACTGCCTAAGTCGCTCGGCTCTCTCTCTCTCTGTCTTTCACTGCCTTAGTCGCTCGGCTCTCTCTCTCTCTGTCTCTGTCTCTCTCTCTCTCTCTAGCTCGTTTCTGTTTTACATATTTGTTTTAACATCAATCCACAGTGTGAAAATCCCAACTTTAATATCAGGCACCAGAGGACTTTAGAAAAACATTTACAAACTCTGTTAAATAAACCGACGCCTCCTGAGAGAAGTGATAATACCATGTGGCTTCCAGCCAATGGGGGGGCCGGGAGGGGGTGGGTTTTGTGTTAATTACTGTTAATGAAGAAGAAATCACCAGAATTAATGAGCCCATTATTCACCATGAAAGAGAAGTAAAAGCAGATTACTTATCACTCATTGGCCCAAAGCGGCCGTCCAGCTTTAACTGTGATTGGCTCGTTCATTCAAAGCAGCTCCTAATCAGTGAGAGCGGAAACTGGACCGTTCCATAATGAGAGCAAAACTCGGAGCAGCTCTGGACATGAAACGAGAGGGATATCCACATCAAACGCTCCCTGCTGTGTATTCACTCATAAAATAATTTCTTTATTCTTTTTTTCTTTCAATAGCAGTGGGAATTAAAGAGAGAGAGAGAGAGACCCAGAGACACACAGAGAGAGAGAGAGAGACAGAAAACAATGCTTTTCAGTGTGTGTGTGCACTCCTGGTGTAGAAAACACTGTATTCTGTCTGAGTACAGTCTGACAAACAACCAACTACTGGTACATCTGATCTAAGAAAACAGTTCCGTGTCCTTTTTACCCCTGACTTACTGATTATATTAAAATAAGACGACTGACTGTGAGGCTAACGCACAAAAAAAGAGTGTGTTTTTCCACAATGAACACAATGTCCTTTCGTAATTTCAGAGTACTTGTCAGATCTTGTTCTTTGTAATGTTTTCAGTGTGTGTGTGGTGTGTGTGTGGTGTGTGTGTGGTGTGTGTGTGGTGTGATATTAGTAACTTGAAACTAAAGGCACAGACTGAGGCTTGTGTGTTTTTCTTTTTGTCTGTCATCACGTGCACTCTGTTTAAGCACATACGAATGCAAGGGAAACACACACACACACACACACACACACACACACTTTCGACTGCCACTCTGTAGGCCGCACATTCCAACACCCATGAATATCACAAGTCTCACTCTCCCGGCCTCAGATTTGTGACTATATTTGTGCGCTGGCTGATGACCGCACTGAGACTTTGTGCAAATATCTGCGGCCGAGTCGGAGGAGCTGCTGGTCGAGATGCAGCGAGAGAGAGAGAGAGAGAGAAAAGAGAGGCCATTGTTCAGCTCTGTGTGTTTGTGTCAGACATGAAGACGGGATGAATAGCTAAAGAACCTGATTGTGAAGGGTTGTAATGTGACTCGCTCTACTTACAATTTGTGTGTGTACTTCTGTGTGTGTGTAAGTGAGAGTCGGGGAAAACAACAAGGCCGAGCGGGGAGTCCCGTGTTTTAAGTTTCAAAGGCAGAGAACGGTCATTTTCCAGAGTAATGAGTGGGAGTGAGTTGATGTTTTGTTAAAGTGAAGGAGAAAGAAACTTTTTTTTTTTTTTCCTCCTTCTGCGTTTGTGAGCCAGCTCCCTTGAAGCAGCAACAGGGGGCAGGGTGCTGCGAGGCGGGAGGGTAATTGTCTCAAGGTGTGGAGAGAGAGCTCAGCAGGCTCTGATATTGTGCAGCTCTACTCCCTGCAGTGTGTTATTGTAGTGTGTGTGTGTGGTTGTCAGGATGGTGAAAGACAGGTAAAAGTGTGTGATAAGGAGATTTCTGAGAGAGTTCTGTGTGTGTGAGTGTGTGTGTTTGAGGGTCGTGGATGATTAACATTTCAATAAAAATAAAAAAAAAGTTGGATTTGTGAAGTGGTGTGAAATGTAAACCAACTGAACAATAAAGAGAATTATTATGCAGAAAGATGGGTCCAACGCTCGGACAAGTTGGTGTGTGTGTGTGTGTGTGAATGTGTGTGTGAATGTTCCAAAAAAAAAGGGGGTTTCTTCCAGAGTTCATCCCTCTTGAAGGAGGGAAGGAAAGGGAGGAGGTGAGGCTGTCTCCTATACAAACTCAGCAGACTCCAGTGCGGTTTGCCTGCAGTGGAGTCACACCTCACTGTGACTGCAGTGTTCAGTGAACTACAGGAGGCACAACTGGATACACTACATGACCAGAACTGTGTGAGGGACGCAGAGAGAAACCAAGACCAAACACTTACTGTTGACAAAGGATTGTCCCAAAAAAAAAAAAAAAAAGTATTTGTTTATTTACCAACTTCATTTCCTGGAAACTTCATTCTCATAAGTTCAACACCGACTGGTTCCTGCCACACGTTTGGACAAATGAGAACAGACAGGTTTTCATTTGGGCCACATGGTGGAAAATGTTGTCTCTGCAGCGAAAGTCTCAAACTGAAATGAGCATCAACTACTGAAGTAGTTCTAGTTTAATATAATACTGTATACAGTACTGCAGTAGTACAACTAGTTCAATTTTTTTATCGGATGCGTTTAAAAAAAACAATTGCAACTAAATTAGAAAACAAATGACCTCAAGGGTCAAATTTAAAAGATCTAGTTTAAAATGTAGTCATGGGTCTGAAACAAATGACCTTAAGTATCTAGAAAAAACCAGCAAGTAATGGCCTGCGGGTCAGAGGTTTAGAACCCTGCTCTCCAGCATACCTCAAGGGGAAAATTTAAAAATTTTAAAAAATCTAGTTTAAAATGTAGTCATGTGTCTGAAACAGATGACCTAAAAAAAAAACAGCATGTAATG